CCCCCCCCTTTTTTTTTTTTCTTTCTTTCTTTTTTTTTAATCCATAAGCTAATTGGCTTTCTGGTGAACTAACTGAATTTTCCAAATCTAATTTTAAAAGATGCTCCATAATATCCATTATAGCAAACACTGTCCTGCAGATTCGATTAGTAGCCTCTCTGGACCTGCTTATTTCTGAACTGAAAGTGCAGTCCAAGCTGGATAAATGAATTACCTGAGCAGCGGAACTTCTTGCTCTTGATCTGGCTGATTCGTTTGTTGGCAAGGCGACGCGGATTGCTGCACCGAGCGCCGCTGGTTTCGATCGGATTATCCTGCAGGTAATCAGCCAGCCACTTCAAATGGCAGTCGCACACAAACGGGTTCTGAGCTAAATGTCTGCGAGAAGGATGGCATGTTTAATCAGAAGTGACCTGTGACACTGTACTCCATCACTGGTTTTCACAAACGCAAACCTGAAGAGTAGAGTAATTGAATAAGCTTCCAAAAACCCAGGCCTGGCGGAAACCACGCAGAGCCACACACGAATGGGAGAATTCTGTGAGCTATCACATTTCGTAGCTCATTAAGCCTGCCGCAAGTCCTTTCACAGAGGAAACAAAAATTAAGATAGCAAAGTCCGATTTAGAGGACACAGACCTCCTGTCTACGAAGTCCAACGCTTTCTCCTGAGAGCTTGATATGCTGTCTTTTGAGAAAAACGCACTTTTTTAGATGCACCTGACCTGAAGATCATTTTGTATCCTGGTTGAAAAGAAACACTGCTGGAAAGCTCAGTTTCCTAGGGATCAAAATATGAATTAGGAAAGCTCCTTGGATCTGTGGGCAAAGCTATAAGTAATCCAGAGGTCTTTTCTCAAGAGTGAAATTGGTATTTGCATATACTCATCATGTGTAATAGCATTCCTCTTATATGTACTTTTTCCTGGAGCAAAAATTTTTACTTTTGAGACTGAACTGTTTATACAGGTAGAACTTGACTCTGTCTTCCACCAAAATCTGCGCAACATATTTCCCACACAATTGGAAATAGGTATTATAGCACTAATCTTAACTGGCTATTTAGACTTCAGAGTATCTTGGAGGGAAACAGCACTGCTTTGTTGCTGTTCAGATTGGTTCTGCTTGACAAAGTTGAGCACTTGTATCAGAAGAGTTTGTCAGGTCTTTCTCACCGCCTGATTCTGATCTCAGTTAACACGCACTACTCCCTTTAGTTTACAGGGGAGTGGGACATAGCTCTCCAATAACTGCAAAGACAATTAAAAAAAAAGACAGATGGTTAAATTTGGTTTGGACAGAGGTGTAAAACTATAGCCTCACAGGAATGCTGCTCTGTTAGTGTGTTTTTTCCACCTGTAGAAATTTTTTCTCTTTTCTGTTTGCAGCTGTATTTATGAACTGCCACTTAACAGACCAAGTATAATATACAAGAGGGCAAGGGCTGTCCTGGAGTGGGAAGTGAAACCATACATAGCATGAAAGTGCCTGAAGAAACTAAAGATTACTGTTGTAGTAGAGCCATTCCTGGTGTGAAAGGTCCAAACAACAAACAAAGTAATACAGACAGGATATGGGACTGGTTTTGTAGCTCTAGAAAAAAAGGCAGAAAATGGCAACCACTTGGAGTATTAAGAATGGGAGAATGAATCAAAACATTTAATGAAAAAGTGTCTTGGTGTCAAGCAACAAGTCCATTCTGAGTAGCAACCACGAGGAGTGCAAACGGAAACCCCATGGAAGCCCAGGAGGCATTTTTATACCTTAAGGGTGTTGCGCATTGTTTAACTTCACAAATCTTAAACACCTCTGTAAATGAACCCTCTCTGTTGCCCTTGTTTACTTATCTATGTACATATATTGCACATTCCAGCAGAAGACAGTGGGGGTGGGGTGGGGGGGTGCAGCACTGAGAGGGGCTTGCACGTGATTATTCTAATGCTCTAATGCTTTGCAGCAATACACACTGGCCAGATATCTGTTGGAAATTAAGGTTGTGCTTGTGGCTGCCTGAGGAGGTAGCAGGCACCCTGCTGCTAGAAATCATCCCTATTAGTTCATTTTTATATGAATGAAAACATTTAAGAAACTAATTTGGTCAATGCATTTCCAGTACTAAAATATGTATTTGCATGTGTATATATACTTTTCCGGTATTACAGTATATACACCTACAATGTGCATATCTATTCCAGTATGTGTAGATACATGTATACATACGATGATATATTTTAATACTGGAAATGCATATACCTACATCCTACACAAACACACAGAGCCTTATCCCTATACATGCACAAAAATGAGAAATATATCTCATCTCATATACACAAAATTGGGTTAGGGGGTTCTTCCTTGGCTGTCATTGATTTGAGGCTGCCAACTCCAGCTCTGAAGAAGTACTATTTACCTTGTTATCTTACTACTCACAGCTTTAGGATGAAACCAGCTGTAAAGTATTGAATCATTTCTACACTTCTGCTTCTGGTTTTGCTTCTGATCCTTCTTCTCCTAATGTCTCCAATTCAAAGACTCTCAGAAAATGTTTAATGGATTTTTGAATGGATCAAATAATACAATGTATTCCCTTAAGTGGAATTTCAGCTGAAATGTGGTTTCAGAAGGCACGAACTGTACAGAAGGACTTGGATCTGGCAAGGAGAGATGCTGACTCACTCGCTCATTAAAAACTGTTAGGCAATGGTTTTAATAGAATCTGCTGTTCATATATTGTACAGAGTCAAATTTATCTATTATCTTCCCAACAAACAGCATGAATGAATTACTCTGGGAGCTTAATACACTTATGACCTTTATGCCACTATGGGCAGGCTGTATCCATAGCTCGCTGTGCTGAATTTATGCAACACTTCTCTTTCTTGCTCCTTTTATTTCTGCCAGAGAAGGAGGGGCTGCTATCCTGGGATCTCTTCCAAATTGTCTTAATGTCAGAGGCAAAGCCTTTGCAAAGACAGGCAACATCTTTGGGGGAAAGAGAGAGAGCTGTCATTTTTGATATGCCTTCGTACTCACAGAGTCTGGATCGATCGGAGAGGTGCAAAGAGCCCCTTGCTGATGGTCTGCAGTTTGTTGTCATAAAGAGATAGCAGTTTGAGATTATGCAGACCTTGGAACGTGTTTACCCTCAGGCAGTTGATCTTATTGGCATTGAGAAGCCTGAAAGAGAGGAAATGGTTATAACTCATTAATCTCATAATAATCAAATAAAGATAGACTGAACTTTGGGGTTAAATGTAAAAAAATAACCCAGTCACCAAACCAACCCATCTTTAAAGGTCTCCATTTGCCTGTTACATTAAAAAGGTGAAAAAAACACACAGTCAATATTAGTACTCTCATAGCTGGGGAATATACAGACATAGAACAATGCTAGCTATCTAAAAATACTTCAAAGATATCTTTTATTTATGTATGCCTAGCCCCTTGCCTTTGTTCATAATTCTACACAAATAGTGAAAGAAATCTTCACCTTAACATTTACAGAGATGGCAAATACTCCCCACTTTCTTATTCAATGCACACACCCATACACAAAGTTCACAATTAGAAGAACTTTCCCCCTCCCCCCCCCCAGTTTTCTCTACCAGCAGCTGTCTTAAGCCTAATTGAAATTCCAGAAGTTTGACATCTTTTGTTAAGTAGTGCAGGGTTAATTTGATCATGGAAAGAAAGAAAACGTGATTCTCCTCAGAGACAAGAAGAGGGAAGTGTAGGATCTGGACTGAAACCTACTGAAAGGCAAGTTCACTTCATATGCAGGGGCAGCCAAGTGGTGGGCCAGGTAGCTCAGAGGAGTTGTGCAGTCTCCATTGTTGGAGGTTTTCACAGCAATCAAAGCAATGAGCAACCTGCTCTGCGCCAATAAGGTGGCTCTGCTCTGAGCAAGGATTCTCCAGTCTCACGCTAGTGATCACCTGACGTCCCTTCCAACCTCCATCGTCCTACAATTCTATAAACCTACTCCATTCCAGTTACACCAGGTTCCTGGGCAATTGTGGAAAAGCAGCTTGAAGGCAATTTACATCCCTTAAAAAAAATTGAAAAATAAAAATTGCACATCTGCACAGTAGCCAGTTTGACTCAGTTCAGCCACAAAAACTTGGACAGTACTCGTGCAAGTTCTCTTAGATTATCCAGCTGGGGTTCTGTCACGTATAACAAGTACATACAATCCAAACAATAAGCTCCATCTCCCTCTGAGACAATCAAACACGAGAACATTTAAATTGTCATTGTCATCTGAATATGTGGTATTTTACACTTAGAAGGAAATTACCTACTCTACTCATGAAAGCCCAAATCCACATATTTTGACTACTAACAGCCTGAGAAACACGGCACATTGCAAACAAAATCTGCAGTCAACCCAGTTCTCTATGACACAAAATTCTTGCTACTTTGTCAAGGAGTTAGAAGGGCTTAATATTGCAACACTGTGGCTTTCTGTGAGGCACCGCAGTAAGAGTAAATCAGAAGGCAAACCTGCTTACAGGTATCCCCCCTTGCTCAGCAAGCGAATATACCATCTTAAACGCATCTCTGACAGCACCGAGAGCTCCCATTTTAACAAACTGCACACAGGCTGCTACAGGCAACATGCTTGTTAGCTGCATGTGATGCTTTTTGTTTGCTCAAAAAAAAATAACTTCAGAGGTGCTTCCTCTGCACGGCACCTTGCCTTTGTATTGCTGAAACCTCTCAAAAGTTGTATGCTCATTACAGCTCTCTGCTCCTACTGTCATTTTGGCAGAGCCTCATTACTGCAGTAAATGGCTACAGCAGTTGTGATACATAAAAGACCCATACTTGAGTAGAACTCTTTCCTCAAGAAGAACAGGAACGCAGAGTTTTGAAATGAGAAGGTATCCGAGCAGAACTCACCTTTCTAGCCTACAAAAAAGTCAATATCAATTTATTTGAATTTTCCTCTTTATATGTTGTGGGTAATGAACTCTGACGTTAGATAAGACGAAGTCCCACAGAAGGCAATGATGAATAAATATGATTACATTTTTGCATGAACTAATAGCTAAAATAGTTTTATGAAATCATAAGCAACACTAGTATGACCCCTCTGCATTCTGTATTTCTGTGACTGATAATTACATGACACCTAATCCGCTCTCCTGTTGACTGCACCAAAAGTAACAGGGTAATTTGCATATTAGCCTACAGGAACAGTTCCTCCCATGCATTTGACTTCTAAGATTTTGCTTCAACAGCAGACAGTAATGTCATCTCTTACTACTTGTTTCTTACAGCCATTCCTTCATCCAAGCCAAAGCAATCCTATTTACTCCTGCGTGAAGAGTGGGCTTGAAGTCTAACCATCATTGATCCCACTTAGTAAACCCTCAGAGCAAAGCTGACCTAGAACCGCAGTGAACTGAGAGGATTCGGATTCATTCTCTGATTAGTTTCAACAAAACATGAGTAGATCCAATGTTGGAAATTAGAATTCACAGTGTCACCCATCTTGCTGGCATGGATTTTCAATTACTAGATTCATGGTGATATAATCTGTGACATTCCTGTAAGAGCCAAACACCAAAAATAAGAGAAACTGATCCTTTCTACAGCCACAAATACAGAGGCACACTCTCCTCCACACATCAGAGAAAGTCATTTGGAACAGGAACGTGCTTGTGCAGACTGTTCAGAAGTGGAAATTCAGGCACTACGCAGCTTTTCTGAGGGGTCAACAGCTATTCTGTACATCATCTATGCAATATATGTGCGGTACCCAAATCTAAAGAGGACAGACAGTGTGCTCAACAATAACACAGATGTGGCCATTCTCAGTTGATCGTGAGCTAGATGAATGGCCTATTTCTGATCAGAATCAGTGAGAAATGGGAGGGGGGAAGTGAAAAACTGCAAGAAAGCAGAATAAATCACCCCTAAAATTATTTTCCTCCTACCTGCTGTGAGTTAGAAGATGACTTTTGGCCAGAAGCATGAAGGTTTATATGCCTCTCAAAATTCTCAGTTATTTTAAAATATCCCCTCTATGGATATTCCCCTATATAAATTGCAATTCTTTGCCTAATCTTTCTTCACTATTACAGCCTCCCTAATGGCATCTTACTATTAATTAGGCATACAAGGCTGGGCTCACATTGAGTTGGAAGTGGTTACAAAAATTTGTTTAAAACACAAAGGCAATGAGAAAAACATATTCTAGGAGGCAGAAACAGTGATCTTCTTTAAACACTGAACCACACTGCAAAACACACAAAGGGTTCCTTTTATAGGACTCACATCAAAAAAAGGGATGATATTAAAAGTTGAGTTTTATTTTAGCAAGAATTACATGGTATTTATTTTGCACCAGTTTGTGGTGAAAGCAAATTCCACTAATTTTCCTATTTTGTTATCAGCTTGGTTGGATGAGATTTACACACACTCTCCAGATGTGGTACAGCTTTCAAAAGGAGGTTAAAAACTCAAATAGAAATAAAACTGCCTGCTACCCAGAGGGATGATGGTTTATTCACTCAAGTCTCCATTTTCATCCCTCTGGATATGTCAAAACCATGAAGAAATCTCTTGCAAGCCTAGGACCACCACAGAATACAGCAGAATGGTTAAAGCCTTTGTGTTTTACACGCCATTGAGAGTAAAGAACAAAGCAGCATTACAACTCCATGAACCCACTTCCTGAAAAAGTGAATTTGTCCACACACACACTGAAATAATAATGTGTTTCAGTGAAGTTTTTTGAATGAATGTGTACTGAATTGGCACTGTAATTGTATCAGATGCTCATAAGCACCATCTGCATAATGAAGATGGTCCCATAATTGAATTATATGCCCAAGCACAGTTTCAAGTGATTAACATTTAAATAACATTTTGAACTCTGAACGCAAAATTATATTTGGTTTTTAAGAGCAAATAGGGATGTTTACATGGCTTCTACCCTTAGCAATGTTTGTATTTTCAGCTCAGTAAAGTCAAGTAATCCAGCTCTTAGGAAACAGCTCCGTAACTTGGGGAATGAAAGAGCAGCCTAGCAACCTGAGCACTTGCTGGAGACTGCAGGGTGATTGCTGCTGCTACAGGATGGATCAGAAATCATCTTAGCTGTGTTAACGAGCGAAAAGGAAAGTGCTGGGGAGAAAAGCTGCACAAAAGCCACTGGAAAACTTCCCTTTTTCACTGGCTTTGAATTTTGACAGTGATGACAACATGATGAGAATGAAAATGTTCTGCATCCCATGAACTGGCTGGCACATCCCATGTGCCAGACTCCACCGGGGAAAACGAGAACTCACCAGAAAAAGGCAGATGTAAAATCCATAGGAGACTAGTATGGAAGAGTTTTGCATGGGTAACAGCAGAATACAAATTAAACATACCTGACTTATAGAATAGCAATAGTCAAAGGCTTCACTTACATTCAAAAGCACTGTAAGGCAGCAAAGAACGGACTCTTGGCAGAAATCATTCGTTCAGATATACAAAACCTATTACAAAAAGTCAAAAAACTTTTTGGCTTGCCTTCCGCCCCCCAGTATTTTCTCTTCAAAAACCTTTGATTTAGCACAGCTCACACTGGAGAACAGATGAAGTGCCAATATAGAAGTATCTAATCAATAACTCTGTCATTCCAGGAGTCAATGACAATGTGTGTGCCCCTGCCTACTTAGTGGCAAAATAATTATATTACGTTCCAGGAACATTTCAGAATAGCCTAGAGTGTAGGGGAGCAATCTGATTGCCTCTCACTGTGTCAAGATATTTAGACATCTACTAAAATTTACATTTTCTAATGTGATGACTGACCACTCAAGAGTCTGTCAGTGCTTCAGCTTTTAATAACCAGTCTGAAACCATCATCGTGCTCCTTGAAATAGTACAAGTGTTTCGCCATGTTCAGGAAACGGAATGATGGTGATGACAAATTTATTCAATATAAATTAAAATGGAAAATTCTTAAGCTGATAATGATTCAAGAAGGAAGCACAGAGCATATTTTCACAGCCCTGCTTTGGAGATATTTTAAAGACCTCCTTTCATTTCTGATAAAAAAAAAGACTGCAACTCCTGTTGAATATTGTCCATAAAACAATCCCGTGGCACTCACGTTACTACCTGGAGCATTGTAAGCCCATGTTGTCATAGCAACTGGACATCTGTTATTAAAAATTTCA